TACTCATCCCCAGCATGTTCCACGTGCGGCTCGAGGACTCGCCAGGCATGGCGGACTATGTCACCAAGGTGCAGTCCATTCATGGTGAACTCAAACAGTTGGGGATAGTCTCCCGCTGCAGCCGCTCTCCTAGTCGGCCTCTTTCCGGCATACGAAGTCACACGCAAGATGCTCTTGGGACTTGCTCCTGCAGACCTCACATTCGCCAAGGTCTCATCCACGCTCCTTTCTGCCGAAAAGGACATTAGCGCTCAAGCCAAGGCCAATGCAATCTGCGCTCCCATGCCTCAAGCCTATGCCGCTTCGGCGCCATTCCAGCGCAACCGTTCCCCCCCGTGTCCCTATGTCATCAAGCGCGGCCCTCGTGCCGGCCAGGTGTGTGGCGGCACCAACCACGCCCTTGCCTCCTGCTTCAAGAAAAAGGATGACGAGTGGTATGCCGTCAATGGGACCGCCTCCAAACCGCCAAGCTGGATGGTCAATCGTGCTCCTCGCAAGGTCAATCAAGTCGAAGCGCAGGAATCCGTGCAGACAGCTGTAGCTCCCACTGCTGATGTGCGCCTCAACATATAGTTCCCTGGCATTGCCGTGATTAATGAGACAACTTCGCTGTGTCCCGGCTCACAAAGCACCTCAGACACAATAGAGTTCACCCTCGACAGTGGGGCCACTCACACGGTTCTCAAGGAAGAACACTCCTTCAAGCCATACGAGACACCAATCCGTCTACTAGGAGCAGACTCCAGTTTCACAACACACGCCAAGGGCTCCTCCACAGTTCCGTGCCCAGCTTTTCCTTCGGGCAGTGTGACTGGCATGTGTGTTCCCACACTACGCCACAATCTCGTGGCCCAACACGAGCTCCAACGGGCAGGCGTCACCACGATCTTCCCAGCACACTCGGATCACTGTGACCTCTTCGACCCTAAGTCCAACAAGCTCCTAGCACGCTTCACACTCAACTGCAGCAAGCTCTACACGCTGCGTTCACCTGCACCTCTCGCCGCTCTCTCCCAAGCGCAAGCTGCCAGCACCACTCCGTGTTCGTGTCGCAGCTTCGCCAACCCAACCATCCTCTACCACCATCGCTTGGGTCACCCCAACTTCCGTACACTTGCCGACATCGCTTCCAAGAAACTTCTTCTTGGCCTCCCGTCGGCGCTTCCTCCACCAACAGACTCACCTGCACCCACCTGCCTGGACTGCACCAAGAGCAAGCTCAGGCAGCAGCCGCACCCTTCCTCCCCATCCGTCGCAGCTGCTCTGCTGTGTTAGAATATACATGCTATGCTAGTTGTGTATATTGTGTTTACATCCCTAGTTGGGTGTACACCTGTGTTGGGGTGTCAATCCAACCGAATTGTGGTTGGAGCCCCCAAACACAAGGACCACAATTGTGGGGGCACCACAAGTGGATTGGCTAAACCACTGGTGGTACACCACACTTGGACCACCTCCAAGTGGTGGTCAACCACATTTGGAAGGATCCTCCCTCCCTTGTGATTGGTCCTAACCCCCCTTTCCCTTCCAACCTACCCTTTCTAGCTCATCCCTCTCTTCCTATGTAATGCTTTTGCTTCATCAATAAACTGAACCTTTCTGTTTCTAACATGGTATAGAGCAATAATGGCTCACGCCAACTTTTAAATCCCGATCCTTCCCCACGCTTCCGCCCCGTCCCCTTCCGACGTGCACCTCATTGCCGTCCCCTCCATCGCCGCTGCTACACTCCTAGCTGCCGCCTCTCAACTAGTTTTCTGTTGGGTGGATTTTCAAAAACCCCCAATGCGCCAAACGCCATAGTTCGCTCGATAGTTGACAGAATTGAGTGATTCGACTTGCAAAAGAACGCTCTTGGTGTCAGCTACAACGTCGTAAAATTTCGGACTGTTTCATCGCTTGGATTGTCAGATATCGCTTTCCGAAGTTTGCACACTTTCCTGGATGTGATCACGAAGTGCTACTGAAATTTCTACCAAGTCCTATTTTCATCAGCTAACTGCCATCTTTCCCCATCTTTTGCCTCCTCACCTGCACCTGCTCATCGCCGCCTTACCACTGCTGCAGCCGTAGCAGCAGCAGCAGAAGCAGCAGCAGCACCAGAAGGAGCAGCAGACTCAGCAGCAGCAGCAGCAGCAGTAGCAGCAGCAGCAGCAGCAGCAGCTGAAGGAGCAGCAGCAGCAGCAGCAGCAACAGCGGCAGCAGCAGCAGTGGCAGCAGCAGCAGCGGCAGCAGCAGCAACAGTAACAACAGCAGCAGTAGCAGCAGAAGGAGCAGCAGCAGCAGCAGCAGCAGCAGTATCTACAGCCATCCCCATCCTCCCCTCCTCTTTGAGCCGCCGCGGGTCCACCCGCCGCCGCTCCCTCCCGGCCACCGCGGGTCCACCCGCCGTCGCCTTCCTCCCACTCCGTGTCACCAATGGCATCCTTTCCCCCTCCTGTCGACGTCTCGACCCTCTATCATCTTGTGCGCGCTGCCGACAACTCAGCAACCAACTGGTATTCCTTCGTCGGCAGCCTCCACCGCGTCCTCGGCAGTGCTTATGTCCTGCCGTTCCGCCTCCTGGACACCATGCTTGGTCTCCCAGAGGGTGACCTCGGGGACCTGCCGCCTCACCCTGGCGATCCCCCCTCTCTCATTCCCCATCCCGGCGAGGAACCTCCGCCCCCCATGGTACCCGTTGGCACCAGCACTCGCGCTGCTACCGCTGAAGTTGAGCAGCTCTTCCTTACTCAGCGTCGTGAGTTCCTCGTGCTCCATACTGATTACCTGATCGCGTTGGAGGAACACGAGCGGTCGGCAACCCTCCGCACCCAGTATGCCGCTACCGCCGCCGCTTATGCCGCTGACTCTGCGCGATTTGCTGAGCGTCGTCGCGCCTGGCTCGAGGCGGACAGCCGTGCTACTGGTGCCCTTCTCCTTGCCATCCCGTCTGCGCTCATGCGCAACTTCCAGGCACGTCGCATCGGCTCCCGCCAGATCTGGCTCGAGCTTGAGGCAATGTTCGAACGCACCGACTTCGATGCTGTCGGACCGCTCTTCAAGGAATACTTCAGCATCACGATCGAACATAGTGCTGGCGCCGTTGACTACACCAGCCGTCTCCTGGACCTTGCCTCCCGCCTTGAGGCTCGCCAGACTACTCTCCCCCCCAACCTTCAGATCTACCGTCTCCTCGAAGGCCTCTCCCCTCACTATGAAGTGCGCGTCATCGCCTTCACTGAGGCTCAGCCCCGCGCCTCCCTTGACACTGTGGTCCAATGGATCATTGACGCTGAGGCCCGCCTTCTCTCAACCCCCCCCCTCCGGGGCTCCTGGCTTTCCCCTCTGGGGCTCTCCTTCCCCTAGTGCTCCCGCCTCCCACTCCAGCTTTCTAGGCGAGCTCATGCGTTCTTCCCCTGCTTCCACTTCCATGTATCCCTCTGTTTTTAATGCCAGTGATTTCCAGTACCCCGTGTCTTCATCTCCCTCCTCGCTCACGATAGACTTTGTTCTCGATAGTGGTGCCACTGAAACTGCCCTCAAAGACGCCGGCACCCTCACCTCCCTCCCTTTCCCCACCAATGTTCATGGTGCTGATTCCAGCTTCTCCATCCCTTGCACTCATCTCTCCACCCTCCCCTGCCCCCCCTTCCCCTCTGGAGTGGTCACTGGTCTCCACATTCCCTCCCTTCGTCATAACCTGCTCTCCATTCGTGAACTCCAACAGGCTGGCATCACTACCCTCTTCCCCGCCTCTGCCACCTACTGTGACCTCCTCCACGGCCCCATTCGCCGCCTCCTTCATCGCCTCCCACTTTGCCCTCGCTCTCGTCAGTACATCCTCCGCACACCCCGCCCCTCCTCATGCCACGTGACCACTCGTGCAGGCACCTCCACTCTCCCCCCTCCCCTCCCTCTAGAGCCACCTTCCTCCAACTCCACCTCCTCCCCATGCTCTTGTCGCGCACTGTCCCACCCCGCTGTTCTCATCCACCACCGCCTTGGTCATATGAACTTTCCCACACTTCGTAAAGCCGTCTCCTCCCGCTTGCTTGACGGTCTTCCCCCCACTCTTCCTCCCCTCCCGTCCTCTTCCGCTCCCCCATGCGCCACATGTATTCATGGAAAGCTCAAACAACAGCCTCACCTCAGTCATCCTTCCTTTGCTGCTGCCCCCCTTGACCTCGTCCACATGGACCTCTGGGGCCCTAACCCTTCCCCTTCCCGCCAAGGGCACCGATACATGCTTGTCCTAGTCGACGACCACAGCAGGTACTCCTCGGTGTTCCTCCTCCACACGAAGGCCGAGGCCCCTGCTGTCATCGTTACCTAGGCCGAGCAGTGCCGAGTCCACTTTGGTCGCCCCACCCGCCGCCTCCATTCCGACGGCGGTGGTGAGTTTCTCAACCGCACCCTCTCCTCCTACTGCTCAACCCATGGCATCCAGCAGACTCATACCCTTCCCCACTCCCCTCAGCAGAACGGTGTTGCTGAGAGTCGCATTCGTGAGATCACCAAGACGGCCCGCTGCCTCCTCACTCATGCCTCCACGCCCCCTTCTCTTTGGGGCTATGCCCTAGTCCATGCTGCTCTCCTTACTAATCTTTACCCACATCCTCAACGCCAGTCTGTCACTCCCACTGAGCTCTGGGCTAGCACCAAGCCAGATGCTGCCATTCTCCGTATCTGGGGTTGCAAGGCATATGTCCTCATCCCCCCACCTGACCGCTCTCGGCAGGCAGGAAAGCTCGCCTCCAAGGCCATTGAGTGAGTCTACCTTGGCCACGCTCGCTCTGCCCCTGGTTACCTCTTGCTTCACACGTCCTCAGGCCGCCTCCTACAGAGCCGTGACGTGGTGTTCGATGAGAGCATCCCGTTCTATCATTCTGTTCCGCCTTCCGACCCCCTTCCTCCTCTCTCCCGCCCCCTCACCTGGGCTGATGCTGTCATTCCCCCACTCCTTCCCCAGGCTCCCCTCCTTCCTCCAAATCCTGCTCCTCCCTCTCCTCCTTCCTCAGGTGACATTTACGACCCAGCTGTCCCTGACTCCCCTGCTCACTCTGCCTCATCGCACCAGCACCAGCAGCAGCACCAGCAGCAGCAGCAGCAGCAGCAGCAGCAGCAGCAGCAGCAGAAGGAGCAGCAGCAGCAGCAGCAGCAGCAACAGCAGCAGCAGCAGGTGCAGCAGCAGCAGCAGCAGCAGCATTAGCAGCAGCAGCAGCAGGAGGTGCAGCAGCGGATGGAGCAGCAGCAGCAGCAGCAGCAGCAGCAACCGCAGGCAGTGCAGCAACAGCAGCCACAGCAGGAGGTGCAGCAGCAGCACCAGCAGCAGCCACAGCAGTAGCAGCAGCAGCAGCAGCAGCCACTGCAGCAACCTCATCGGCATCGCCGCACCACCTCTCCGTTCATCCTCCCACGCATCCACACTCGCTCTCACGGCCCACTCATAGGCCATCCATGGGGTTGGCCAACACCACCCCCACCCTCCCTTCCCTTCATTGAGGACTCCCATGAGGAGCTCATTGGCGTTCAGCAACAAACACCTTCCCTCACGCCTCTCTACCCGGGCTTCCTTGGCCTCCTCATCCTTGGCATCGCTACCGCTCCCACCAGATTCACTCCGTCCAACTTCCTTGAGGCCATCACCTGCCCCGATGCTGCCAAGTGGATCCAGGCTATCTTTGCTGAATGCGAGGCCTTCATCCGCAATGCCTCATTCGTTAACATTGTCCCCTCTCCTGACGACGTCATTGTTGAAGGCCTGTGGGTGTTCCGAGTGAAGCAGCTGCCGGGTGAGGAGCCGGTCTACAAGGCCCGATATTGTGCCAAGGGCTTTACCCAGACCCATGGCATTGACTACTGGGAGGCATTCTCTCCCACTGCCAAGCTCCCAACTCTCTGTGCCATCCTCGACTATGCTGTTTGCATTGGCATGGAGATTGCCTCCATGGATGTCTCCAACGCCTTCCTGCAAGGCGAGCTCCAGGAGCGGGTCCTCTTGCAGCGGCCTCCAGGCTTTCATGCAGCCTTCCCTCCCAACACAGTCTGGGAGCTGCGCCGCCCGGTTTATGGCCTCAAGCAGGCTCCTCGCGAGTGGCACACCAAGCTGGCCGCCACTCTACAGTCCCTGGGGTTCCATGCCTCTCAGTCTGATGCCAGCCTTTTCCTTCACTCCTCTCCCACCCGCTTCTTCATCCTGGTGTATGTCGACGACATGATCCTGTTCGCTGACGATGCTGCTACCATGCAGCAAGTGAAGGACGCCCTGCATGCTCGCCTCAAGTGCAAGGACCTGGGTGAGAGTGATCCCTAGTTGGGTGTACACCTGTGTTGGGGTGTCAATCCAATCCAATTGTGGTTGGAGCCCCCAAACACAAGGACAACAATTGTGGGGGCACCACAAGTGGGTTGCTTGAGCCACTTGTGGTCCACCATACTTGGACCACCTCCCACTTGTGATCAACCACATTTGGAAGGATCCTCCCTCCCTGGTGATTGGTCCTAACCCCCCCTTCCCTTTCAACCTTCCCTTCCTAGCTCATCTCTCTCTTCCTGTGTAATGCCTTTGCTTCATCAACAAACTCAACCTTTCTGTTTCTAACAGACATGTGCAGACATGTGCAGCAGCCGGTAGTATATGCAAGAAATAGAGCTGAAAATATTGATTAGGTAAGGATCCCAAGGCTCTATAAGTACATGGCAAGGTGAGGGAGAATGGATGAAAGGGGAATCGGAGGGAATCCCCACTAGGATCTCCAGAATCTCCAATTGCGTAATTGGAGATTGGGGGGATCACAATTGGGTGAGGTTGGGATTTTGTGAGTACACCCCAACCCACTAGAACATTCCTAACCTAAACTAGGATATAAAAGTACAAATACAAAAGTGGGATTTGCAATCTATTTCTAATAGCAGACACAGCCTTGTGAGAGCCTACAGATTCTAGAGGGGCCCTTGTTGGAGCCTAGAGAGTACGAGTACAAATGCTTGTTTTTCCTTTGATCAATCAACCATTTCTGGTTCAATGCTTCCGCTACGCGGCATAGTCCGATTTCTAACATGTAGCATGGTTGACTCTGTTGGGCTGAGAAAAGCCCAAGGATCTTTTCAGAAGACCAAGTCCTTGTAACAGAGTGCTTGATAGCACAGCGGAAGTCTTTGATGAATCCTTGTATTGGTGTGTGAAAACAAGTGATTGATTATAGCAAACGGATACAAGAGTTTATATAATAATACAGGAGAATACGAAGAGTCTAACTGATTATGCACTTCGAGGGGTTCATTCCCTTTACGACTTGATAAGAGCGAATCAGGTAACCACCCATATTGTAATACCGGGACGATTATTTTTCCTTGCTGTCATGCTGACTTGACTCTTGTACTTCTGACTGTTGAGTTGCGAGGTCAACGCTCTGCGACCGTTGCGCTTTCGTAACCTCAGCGAGGTGTTGTCAGACTGCGTCGATCAAAAGGGATACTGTAGCAGTCTTGACTTGGTAATCTTTCATGTTGTGTCCTTCGCGTATTTGTTATAGTTTCGCGATACTCCTGAAATGCGCTTAAGTTTTTTTATCATTCCCAACACCCTCCTTCATTTCTGGAGTGTCGATGTGGTCGAGGTCGCTGACATGTTGCAGTCCAGTCAGCAGCATGCAGTACTGGAACTTTGACTTCATCAGCTTCTTTGTCAAGTAGTCGGCTGCCATTTTGGTGGTAGGGTAATAGACCAATTGGAGACGTCCCTGCTCGATCGCGTCTTTCACGAAGAAGCAGCGAAGCGAGATGTGCTTTGGCCAGTTCGCGAATCCATTTTTGTTGGTGATCCTGATCGCCAATTGGTTGTCGCAGAAGAAGGAAAAGCTTGGTAACTCGGCAATCTTCGCGTCTTCGAGTAGCTCGCGCAGGTAGAGACCTTCTTTTATGGTTATGCAGAGGGCGATATATTCAGCTTCAGCAGGTAAGAGGGCAATTAGTTCTTGTTTTCCCGAATGCTAGGAGATAGTGCCAATAGGTTCCAGGCGATAGATGTAGCCGGTGCATGAGCGTCAGTTGTCCTTGTCGCCAGCGTCATCCGCGTCGACATAGCCGATGAGTTCCGTTTTGGTAGTGGCATTCTTGTGGTAGGTCAGGCCGATCGTTGGGGTTGTGATGAAGTAGTGGAGCTCTTGATCGAGTTCCTTCGGGTTGCTTAAGCTAGGTAGCGAGCTGGCTAGCGGCGTAGGAGAGGTCAGGATGGCAGGTGACGGCGTCGAATAGCAGACAGCCTATCTTCTGCTAATATTCCTGGATTCCGGCCGAGGCGAGTAGCGAGGAGGACGGCGCGGGAGTTGGCGGCACGTAAAATTATCAGGTAGCGAGCGGCAATGGAGAGAGATCCAACCGCCGAGCGATGTTCTCGGCGAACTGGAGGCCGATAGGTAGTTGGTGTTGGGGCTGTCGGTGATGTTTAGCCCCAGGTACTGTGTCACGGTTGGCGAGATGGTAATGGTGAGCTGGATTTCCAACTCGCCTTCGAACCAGATGGTAATTGAGGCGGTGGAGCAAACGTAGAGCAGGTCGTCTATTAGACGAAAAGCAGCACATATTCACCACTGCGGGAGAGGCGGTACATGCTCTGGTCTTGGGGCAGCTGAGCGAAGCCCACGGGGGTGAGATTTCGGTGCAGGTATTGCTGCCACAGGCCCGCCTGCTTGATCCCATAAAGGGATTTGACAAGCTGGCAGACCAGCATGGGGTCATCGACATATGCGTGGGGCTGCTAGACGAAGATGTCAGCATCGACGGGAATGTACATGAAGCTTGCGGGCGGCGGCGACAGCGAGGAGGATTCGCAGGGACGTATGGCGGCTGACTGGAGCGAATGTATCGCTGTAGTCGCGGCCGTGCTGCTGGACAAATCCGCGCACCACCCAGTGGGCTTTGAAGCTGTTGATATTCCCATCCGCCTTTGTCTTCACGCGGTAGACCACATTCCCGGGAGGATCGTCTTTCCCGTCGTTTGAGATACTGTTGGTGCATATTCGTTTGCACGTCATCCTGTTGTCTGTTCGCATCATTTCGTTGCATGTGTTTTGTGTGCTACGTTGTTTGTATGGTTTGTTGAGTTTGCATGTCTTTGCATGTTCATCTTGTGCTTATCCAGATGTGCTTGGATTGTGCATGACATCAAGCACATTCCAACGAGCCAAGAATTGTTGGAATCGGAGCACATATGAAGACGTTACGAAGAAATGCTTGATGGATTTGTTACAACTCATTGGAAGTCCTTGGCAGCTGCTACACCAAAGTTGGAGAGCCTTATAACGAGGAGGGACCAGCATGTGTGGGACTTTTGTCCTCACCTTGCAGCTGCAGCATTTGGGGTTTGGAGGCCAACCTGGCACAGTGTGAATTTTGACTTGCCAGGCTGATTGAACCTGAGGATGGGGAGTCAAGATTTTGACTCTTGTCATGTTCTTGACCAAGGGCCTCCAGGGTCCTTCCCTTTCATCATTCCCTTCTGTTAGAAATAGACTGCAAATACTGTTAGAAATAGACTGCAAATACCACTTTTGTATTTGTACCTTTATATCCTAGTTTAGGTTATGAATGTTTTAGTGGGTTGGGATGTACTCACAAATCCCAACCTCACCCAATTGTGATCCCCCCAATCTCCAATTACCCAATTGGAGATTCAGGAGATCCCAATGGGGATTCCCTCCGATTCCCCCCTTCATTCATTCTCTCTCACCTTGCCATGTACTTATAGAGCCTTGGGCTCCTTACCTAATCAATCATTTCAACTCTATTTCTTACACCTTCCTACCCCACCTTCCAACTGTGCTTCAATGCCTTTTCTATCATGCCTCTGAACTGGTAAGCTTGAATAATAGTGATTCTGAGGACTGTCAATTTCTCCTATGGCAGATTACCCCCCAGTGCGCCAAACGCCATAGCCCACTCGCTAAGCTACAGAATCGACTGATTCAACTTTCAGTGGAAGCTGACAATGCAAGCTACAACATATCCGATTTTCAGATCGTTTCACAGATTGGAGTTTTGGGTATAGATTTTCGAAGGTCGCAAGTTTTCTGGGCGTCGTAATGAAGTGCTGCATAAATTTCTGAGCCATTGAATCATCTGCTTATAGCCTTCTCTAACCAACAGATACAGTATTGGAATTAGCTTCCTAACAGGAGCTGGTTTATTCATGTCAGCCATCCACAGTGATCGGAGGAGTTTTACATCAACTTCAAGGAACATCCCAATCATGTGACAGCAAATCCATGTGTTCATGGCATGCATGGAAACACTCTATAGATGACACAATGCTTTACAGATTGATGAGTAATTAGCCTCAAATCTGGCAAGTACTTACTTACTAGCAACCCTACGCTACATGTATTAGACGCGATTCTACCTGAAGTTGAACCGTTAGAAACCTCGACGTAACTTCAACGATACAGGCTAATGCCAAACAGCACGGCGACATTGACAAATGCAGGCGCTACAAACTGCAATAAGACATTTACGTGCTCTACCGATTGCACATCGGGAGAACGGATGAGCATACCAAACAGTTGCTACCCGTCGATACAACAAGGGGAGAAGCAAGTAATCTTGATACCCTCGAGAGAACCAATGCACCATTGCATACGTATTCCCTGGTAGTTACAACTGTTATACCCATCAGTGTCACATGACCAGGATTTAGAGGAAGCTTGAATAAATGACTAGTCTCCATAGGAACACGATCTAGAAGAATGGTAGGGATTCTATAGATACAGTGACGGTGACGGAACACTCTACGCAATAGAAAACGTGTCACGCAAGGAAACTGTGAAACGCTCTCACATATGACATATAATATATCAATGTGTGGAAAAGAGTGAAGGGATTTCCAGGAAAGGAAAAACAAAAAAAAAAACACACAATAGTGTAGATAGCACATATCAACTGGTTGTGATCAAGGATTTGGCAAGATTTATCCTCTCACACTCAGGAAAACTCAACATGCAAGGGAGTGGATGGATTTTCCTTCGAACCGTAACGTCCTCTACAGCAGCCATTGCTTCCACGATTGCTACGCCAACCTCAAAAGCTTGGTAGTTTCTCGACCACACGGAGCAATGTCATCACTAGAGTATACTACAGTATAGCAGATACAATACCAACATCACCTACATTTGAACCAGAAGCAGTTGACGGTAAGTCGTGATACCAGAAGGGAGCTGAAGCCACGAGGCACCTAAGCATATTAGCACGAACATGTCATGTGCATGTGCATCCGACCGTAGACGATCTTGTCTACAAGAGACCAAGACTGGGGAAAAGCTACAAGCCCTCATCACGGGATCCGCCTGTTCCTTGTCAGCATGAGCAGCCAGTGCTAGCCGAGGACTCTAGTCCTGGACCACTGCTGTAAAACGTGTGGGGTCGCTATTGTCGCTCACCTCCATGAGCCAAATAGAGAGACAATAGGAAAATTCTTCCAGTATATGATGATTACCCGTATAAACGCTCATTCGCTGTGATAACGTATCTAGGCAGTATACACAACCATCATGGAGAATATCCGGAAGTGAAGCAGTGAAATTCATAGTAAACATTCGCATTATTCATTATCATAGTCCTTAGTATGAACCAAACACCACTAACGAGTGGAATGCCTTGTTTGGGGATACGTGATTGTCACAGCCACCTCCCAATATTTGATGAGCTACTTGTGGGTGATCTCTAGAGTTGTCCTACTCATCTACATCCTGCAGCTGGAAGCAGCTTGACTCGTAGCTTGGGGTAACTTTTTTAAATATTCCTCCTAGAATATCTTTTCTTGCAATGGCAATCAAGCTAACTCAGTCATGGACTTATCATCATTCGTTATGCTACTCTGCAACCTGAGTTGAAGCATCACATGTCCTGGTACATCATTATGGGATACTTGTTATCTACACTCATGAAGGCTCACGAGTATTTGGAATAGAGACATGAAGAGCTGCCGCTCAAACACATGTTTGTTGGCATAGAGCCTTACAATTCTCAATGTTTGCTAAAAAACTGGGCGCTTTCAGCATCTACCCACTTTTGAGGGGGGGGGGGGAAGAGGGGGGGGGAGAGGGGGAAAGGGAGGATGTGGCTTTCAGCATCTACCCATTTTTTCTCTTTTTTGTGTGTTATTCCTATACTCTTCCCTACACATTAATATATTTCATGTATATCTTCTGTCCTTGTATGACAAGTTTTCTGTATTTCATACAGTGTTCCGTCATTGTGATCATATCTCTAGAATCAGTATGTGCTTCTAGATGGTATTCCTTTTATTGAACTCTCTTAGGTTCTACAAAGGTTCTTCTGTCGTTACCTTCCCAAGAGTCCTCGTATCTATAAATAGCATTGTCTCTTGCTTTGTATTCAGCTCTTCAACTACTTCGTTCTTCATTCAAGCTCCGCTTACTCCTGATCCTGTGACAATGTCTCCACTGTCAAGCCACTTATTGGAATAAGCCTTCGCTCATTGAGCCACACTCCGAAATCGCACACTTCCCAAATAGGCCACGTCACTAAAAATCACGCGTTGCGCTTTTTCGCCTATATTCTTCGCATGTATCTTTTATGGACTTGTTACTCACTGTGTTTTACTATCTCATCTCTGGTACTAGGCCGTTCAGCTACACGTCAAACGTGGGGTGCAATTCAACCCTTGTCCCATGTTGTACCATTTGCACCACTCCTTGTGGTTTGAAATAAACGAGCTTTCACTGCTTCCCAGCCAGCAGCTCATCAGATGCTTTCCTTGCCAGGGGGGTGCTTTTTGTGTTTCGCGATGTGAAATAACTGTGAACAGATTCATACTTCTTAGATCCCGGATTTCAAGTTACTCAACCCGAGTCAATGGATGCACCATTCGACTGAGTTTTTATTGATCGTACTTCGAGTCAGATTGGACTCAAATTGATCCCTTTGGAAAATCTGGGGCCTGGACTTTAATTTCAAATCGACGAGCCGCTGTCCCATTCCTTGCGTCGCATTTAAGAAGAAAAAAAATCATCGGGAAATAATTGTACCTGCGAGAACCCCTACTATGTCGACGAACATTTTGCGGCGCGACCAGATTCCAAGCTCCCGTTTCAGAAATTTCAAGTTGGCGTGCTAGCAGGCCCTGCACCTTATGGTTCCACCACCACAAACTGCAACTGGCTAGGGTGATTTTCCTCTACGCAATGTTGGTTAGAGAAGGCTATAAGCAGATGATTCAATGGCTCCTTGGAAATTTCTGCAGCACTTCGTTATGACGCCCAGAAAACTCGCGACCTTCGAATAGCTATATCAAAAACTCCAATCGGTGAAACGATCTGAAAATCGGATATGTTGTAGCTGGCAGCGTCAGCTTTCCACTGAAAGTTGAATCACTCGATTCCGTAGCTGAACGAGTGAGCTATGGCGTTTGGCGCACTGGGGGGTAATCTGCCCTAGGAGAAGTTGACAGTCCTCAGAGTCACTATGATTGAAGCTTACAAGATCAGAGGCATGATAGAAAAGGCATTGAAGCACAGTTGGAAGGTGGGGTAGGAAGGGAAGGATGAAAGGGAAGGACCCTGGAGGCCCATGGTCAAGAACATGACAAGAGTCAAAGTTTTGACTCCCCATCCTCAGGTTCAGCCAGCCTGGCAAGACAAAATTCACCCTGTGCCAGGTTGGCCTCCAAACCCCAAATGCTGCAGCTGCAAGGTGGGGACAAAAGTCCCACACATGCTGGTCCCTCCTCGTTATAGGGCTCTCCAACTTTGGTGTAGCAGCTGACAAGGACTTCCAATGAGTTGTAACAAATCCATCAAACATTTCTTCGTAACTTCTTCATATGTGCTCCGATTCCAACAATTCTTGGCTCGTTGGAATGTGCTCGATGTCATGCACAATCCAAGCACATCTGCACAAGCACAAGATGAACATGCAAAGACATGCAAACCCAACAAACCATACAAACAACGTAGCACACAAAACACATGCAAACGAAATGATGCGAACAGACGACAGGATGACGTGCAAATGAATATGCACCAACACACTCCCCCTCAGACTGTCGGCTTGTTTCGCCGTCTCTAGTTCAAGGACATTCCCGCCTTCCTCGCACAGCGCCAGTGTGGCTCTTCAGCTAGCCGCTTGGTAAGGAAGTCGGCTGGCTGTTGCTGAGTTTTCACGTAGATCGGATCCAGTGTCCCAAGCTTCACCTCCTTCCGTAGCCAATGCCACTTGATCCTCATGTGCTTGTTCAACCCATGAAGAACTGCATTGCGCGCCATGGCAATGGCTCCCTTGCTATCACTGAACAGAGGTGTCGCACAAGTCTGTTCATGGCCGATCTCCTTCAAGAGCCTCCTTAGCCAGATGATTTCTTTTGCCGCATGAAACATCGCCATGTACTCAGATTCCACTGAAGATAGTGCCGTCTCAGACTGCTTCTTGGACCTCCAACTTACAGGCCCACCTCCCACCATGCAGATGTATCCACCAACTGATGATGAATCCTCATGCTCAGAAGCCCACGTGGCATCAGCAAAACAGGAAAGGAACACCTTTCCTTCTCCGAGCTGCTCCCCATTCTCTTTGAGGACTTCAACTCCTTTTTGACTGAGTTGAGCAGAGGCTGAATACTGTACTCCCACTGTAGGGTATGACTTGAGGTAGCGCACCACTCTCTCCGCTGCACCACACTGCTCTTCTGTTGGATTTTGCACTACTCGAGCCAGCTGTCCCACAGCAAAGCTGATGTCAGGCCGAGTATGCACAGCAGCGTAGAGTAGGCTCCCGACCATGGATTGGAATTGCCTCTGGTCTTCACTCTCAACTCCTTCTCCTTCAGCTGCCTTTATGAGTTTGAACTCGGAAGGCAAAGGTGTGACCACTTCCCGTTCTTCCTGCAAAGAGTACTTCTCAGCCAAGGTGTTGATGTACTGTCCCTGATGCAGTTTGAGCCAGCCACGTTCAGTATCCCGCTCAATGTGCATTCCCAGGTAGTACCTTGCCTCTCCAAGTGACTTGCACTTGAACTGCTCTGTGAGCTTCCGCTGCACCCCATCGATCTCCTTGTCACTGCTGCTGAAGAGCAAGATGTCATCCACGTACACCAGCAGAAGCACAAGTGACTCCCCCTCTCCCATCAGGAATAGGCTCTCGTCGCATGCACTCGCACGGAATCCAATCCCTTCCAGTGCACTGGCCAGCCTGTTGTACCAGCATCTCGGGGCCTGCTTCAAGCCATAGATGGCCTTGTTAAGTTTGCAGACACGACCGGTTCCATCCTCATAGCCAGGGGGTTGAACCATGTACACCTCCTCTTCCACAATGCCGTACAGAAAAGCGGTTACGATGTCCATCTGCTTCACCTTCCATTTGCGCACAGCAGCTACCGCTAGCAGCACACGTAGCGTTGGAGACTTAGCAGTTGGGGCAAACACTTCTTTGTAATCTTCCTTCTCTTTCTGCTGAAACCCCTTTGCCACCAGCCTGCTCTTGTAAACTGATGGCTCTCCTTTCTCATCCGTCTTGATTTTTGCCAGCCACTTGCACTGTATTGCCTTCTTCCCATTTGGCAAGTACACCAGGTCCCACGTGTGATTCTCCATCTGGCTGTTGTACTCTGCATCTCTTGAAACGAGCCACTTCCCCCGTTGAGGCCCGGCTAGCGCATGATCCATGCTCGGAGGTTGTATTGGTGCGTAAAAGCAGTATGCAGGCTCCTCGTCATCTGACTCTTGGTCATCACCCAAGAACAGCACTGCATCTTCGCCTTGAGCCTGTTCCTGCTGCTCAGTTGTGGCTCCTCCACTTGTGGAGCTCAGCAGTTTTCTCGTTGCCATTCTGGTACGTGCAGGGTAGATGGTTGGATTTACCCATTCTTTCACCTTCACCCAATCCTTTGTCCCCCCACCAATCTGTTTCCTTCGCTTTGGCAGACTTGGTGTTTTGGAAGCCTCTTGCTGCTGCTGCTCCGGATCCTTGACTTCAGCATCAGCTGCAATATCCTCATTGCTTCCTTCATCAGTACCGCTTGCCGTTGGCGCAGTGACTTCGCTGTCCTCAGGTTCGGACAGATCGAAGTGCATAGTGATCTCTTCCAGTTGCTGGGTGACCCTTGCCTCCGGCTGCTTCTCCCACTTGCCATACATGATGTTCTCCACAAATTTGACATCCCGACTATCAAACAGCACATTCTTTGAGGGCTCCCAGAGTAGCCACCCCTTGCTCTCTGCCGCAAGCCCAAGGTGCACACACCAAAGTGCAGATGCTCCAAGCTTTGTCCTGTACGGTTTAGGGACATGCGCCACTGCCATGCATCCGAACACTCGAAGCATGTCCACTGGAGGCTTCTTTCCAAGCCACCTCTCCAGCGGCACCCACATATCATCAGCCACCTTTGTGAGTACGCGGTTCCTTGCCACTGTAGCATGCCTCACCGCATGAGGCCACATGGAGTTCCCCAGCCCTGATTCGATCAGCAGCCCTCGCGCAGTTTCCAGGATGGTCCTATTAGCCCTCTCAGCAACGCCATTTGACTGAGGGGTATAGGACGTCGTTAGCTGATGCTCAATGCCTTGTTTCTTGAGCCACGCAGTCAGATCTCCTCCTAGAAACTCTCCACCTCGGTCGGTTCTGATGCTCTTGCATGGGTGCCCAGATTGTCGCTCGACGAACGGCAGCCAGTCATCTCGTATTGTTGAGGCAGCATGATCCTTCTGCTTCAACGGGTATGCCCACATCAGCCGACTCCAGTCATCAACTATTGTCAGGAAGTACCTTTCCCCCTTACTTCCTCGGACTGGAAAAGGTCCTACGAGGTCCATGTGCACCAGTTCCAGTGCTGCCTTGCTTTTCCCAGCTACGCCGTGAAAGGGGAACCGTGTGAACTTGCTCAGCAGACACGTCTCGCACTTGGTATCATTTGGTTGCCCAGAAAGCTTCAGCCCCTTTACTGCTTCTTCCTTATGCAGTTGCTGCAGCAATGGCATAGCCACATGCCCTAGACGCCTGTGTGCGGTTTCCCAATCAGTCTCCCCCGACCTTGCAGAAACCGTCACTCCTGCAGCACTAACTGCATTACACTCCCCCTGGACTCCAGATCCCGCCTTTACTTCTCCCAACTCCTTCTTTGTTGATTCCCATATCAGTGCAGGGATCTGCCACATGGATCTGAAGACATCTCTGCTTTCGTGTAAATCCCATAACACACGATCTCCTCGCAGCCCCTTGAATGTTTTGGATCCATTGGTGGTGGTGCTGACTCCGGCCTGGCCTAGCTTGCGCAGCGATATCAGGTTGGCCTTCAGCCCTGGTACGAGTAACACATCCTTCAGCACAACCAGTCCACCATCAGGTGCTCTGAATGCAGCTCGACCAACTCCAGCGACCTTCACTGCATGTCCGGATGCTGAGCGCACTTCAGAGATTGGAGGCGCTCGCACAGCATCCAGCAAGTCCTTGCGTGGTGTCATTGTCCATGCAGCACCAGAGTCCATGACCCACATGTCAAGCGGGTGCAATTCCTCTCCAGCCCTTGCAACAGCTGTGCCACTGTCATCTTTGTCACACACATGGTAGAACTGTCCAGCATTCCTCTCCTCATTTCCCATTCCTCTGTCATCCTTGGAGGTTTCTTTAGCAGGATCAGCTACCATGTTGGCACCTCCATGTGGTTGTTTTCCTCCATTCCCCTTCTGCGATTGGTTCCAACAAACCATACAAACAACGTAGCACACAAAACACATGCAAACGAAATGATGCGAACAGACGACAGGATGACGTGCAAATGAATATGCACCAACACGCAATAGATTTGACCGAAGGCAAATATTTTGGCATCGTCTTTTTAGTGGTAAGGCACTCTAGGAGGCCAAGTCCCAAGTTGCAATGTTTTTCTTTGGGTTGCAGAGCGACTTTATTACAATTTACAGTATCAGACACAATTTTCATGTTTGTGATTTGTTTTTTAATCTTTATAAAGAGCACAAAAAACCTTAAAAAAACTAAAGGATATTCAAAATATTTTATGTGCACAACTCGGGGACAATCTGTTCAGACCCAAGGGTGGAGTTTCTCCCCGCTTGCCATGCAGACGAGCATGAAGGTAAGACGATGCTCCTCGTACCCAATTGTCTTCCCGGTTGTCTTCGTCAGGGCGCCCGCTCAACCACCATCTCCATGAATCGTGGAACCAGGTCCGAGTTCATTATGTGGCTCAGATTCATGCCATGGTGTGCCTAGTTCATGTGATCAAATTTCCAGAATGCACCGCATCTGCTGCACTGTGGTTGTTGAAGAGAACTGCAGGGAAACATCATACGGCTGAGGTGAACTCGCAAACAGGTGGTAGGCGTGATGGTTAAAGCCCCCATCTCATATTTCCTTGTGTTTTACAATCGAAACTGGGGTTGGGGCTACGATTGGAGGGCGAATACCGAAATGACGAGGGGGTTCAAGTGAGTGAGGGTGAGCCAAACAATTTCGCGCAGCCCCAACCAAAACTACCTAACCAAAACCCAACCAAAATGACCAAACCAGAATTGTCGCAAGGGAGTGACGCAGGTCGCATGTAAGGCATTAATAATTCCTTACTGAGGCTTGCTACATGGCGTACGACTCGAGCAGTCCCGAACCAGTGATAGGGTTCCAAGCCTTTCAATTCGAGCCTCCTGGGCCTTTCCGGACCTCGTTTCGACACATCGAGGCCCTTCGACACTTTTCCCGAACTTTCCGATCCTGCGTCCATGATCGCCCTAGGTTTCCTATATATTGCGTTGTCTTTCATTTAATTGTCATTCACTCATTCATAGTTTCGTCATTGCCCTCCGCACTACTCGGCATTTCCATTCATAACATCGCACTTTCGCCGCAACACACAAACGTGGTTGCCTAGGAACATCGAAGGGACACAACCCATAAATACGAGCACCACCAAGGGAGCTATGTTTGCGAGCGCACAGAGATCCTACCTTGCTGTGGTAGCAAGTAAGCACTGTTGCCCCAACATCCGTTTGCGCCGGCATCATGGCAGTGAGGGGCGCGAAATAGATGGCACAAGTGGCCACTACGGCAGGTGAGAAACAAAGGGAAGGTTGGCGGAGATGGCCGCGAAGCCAGGCTGCGAAAGACGCAATAGCAGACAACGGCGGTGCACATCGAAGAAGTTCTCACTCAAGCCGCCCGCTGGCTCGCGGCGCAGATTGGACTCGTCCTTGATGATTTCAGGTGTGCATGGAGAACAACTTACAGGAGCCACGGGACCGACGGACCCAACGAAGAGGAGACAAAGCTATGGCGGGCCATACGGAATCCGCAGCCAGTGAGCATGCGCCATACGCGCATGAGCAGGGTATGTGCGGTGACGAACGTACGCCCTGCTGGGACTGCTGCCATCGTCAGCTCTGCGATTCTGGCGGGCCTGCACATGCAGAGCTGCTAGGTTACGGAGAGGCCTGAAAGCATTCAGCTGGGCGGTGATGACGGAGGGCCACCGCGCGCCCAGCTACTGGCGCTTGCAGGGCCGGTGCACGACAATGTGCAAGGCAAGGCCTGCGCGTCCAAGGCCGTAGGAGGGAGGCCAGGCAAGAGACCCTGGTGCCCCTTGTCCAGGGCTTAGTCCCCACTCTTCCGGGCCTCTGCACTATCCTGAACCCATTTTCGGGCCTTCAGCCCCCACCCCCCCCTCCCCCCCACCCCCTCCCTTGCCCCCTGTCCTGCACATACCACAATACACAGTTCCCTCTGCAAAATCTCCGACTCTCCCTTACCATTCATAAGCCCCTCTCACCACCACCCAATCAACACCCGCCCACTCCAGCTGGTGAGGAAGCCACCCACTTCCACCCACTCTCACAGCGGACGGTGAGAGAAGGGGTAGATGGCAGGAGGCCGGGTGGATGGTGCACCCTTGAGTTGCTGGTGAGAGCAAGGGGAGGTGGTGAGAACAAAGGCTGATGGTCCACCCTTGAGTTGCTGGTGAGGGCGAGCAAGGGCAGATGGTGGGAGAAAGGGTAGAATCTGGGAGCAAGGGTTGCGAGAGAGAGCAAGGGCAGATGGCGGGAGCAAGGGTAGAATATGGGAGCAAGGGTTGCAAGAGAGAGCAGTGCAGCCCTCCATTTCTCCATTGACAACCACCCTCCCTGCCACAGCCCCCCTACCATCCTCCCTCAAGAGCGCCCCACCATCATTCTCCTTGTTTCTCTCTCCCACTCCTCATCACCAACGCTTGGCCGTCGACGGCTGCTTGCTGATCGCGCTCCGTGCCATCGTCCTGATCTCTCGCATCTCTTCATAAAGATACCTCATTGCTGGCTTGGCAGTTGGATCAAACAGAAACTTGCCTAGACGTGGTGGCTTGTAGATAGCGGAGGACCCTCTTGGTTGCAGACCACTGCGAGGCAGTGTACCATCCGGGGGAGATGTACCGAGAGAGGACACTAACCGGGTAAGCCAAGTCTGGTCGAGTGCACATCATGGCATACATGAGTGAACCAGCTAGCTCAGGGTATGGGTACTTGCAAGCATCACAAGAAGGAATTGGAGGGGCCGTGAGCTGGTGCTGTAGTAGGAGTGGTGTGGAGACAGAGTTACTGGAGTCCATGTCGAACCGCTCGATGTAGGAATCCTGGGAGAGGGTGATCGTGCAAGCCTGGCGGTCACAAGTGATCTCCATCCCCATGTCATTTTTGAGGTCACCAAGATCCTTCATGAGCGGGGCGGAGCTGAGAGCGGACTAGACAGCTGCCATCTCGGCTGGATCTCTGGCAACTAGAATGAAGTTGTCGACGTAGACGAGGATGTAGAAGGGCTCGGAGGAAAGACGAACGAAGAGACTGGAATCTGAGGCGGAGGGATGGAAGTCAAGTGCGAGGAGGACTTCCTTCACCTTGTTGTGCCACTCACGAGGAGCCTGCTTGAGGCCATACACTGGGCGCTTCAGCTTCCACACACTGTTCGTAGGGTAAGTGCCAGGAAACCCTGATGGGCGTTCCATGTGAACATCCTCCTTGAGCTTGTCGGCGTGAGGCCGACTAGCAGAGCTGCTGCAGGGGCTTGCTCGGGGAAGACGATCCCCAACTGCTTGAGTTCACCATAAATGGACTACTCCTTGGTGACATAGTCTGCCATGCCTGGCGAGTCTTCGAGCCACACTTGGAACATGCTGGGGATGAGTATAGCAACTCCCACTGCAGTCTTGTTCAGGAAGCGATCTTCGAGGTAGAGCCAAATGGCGTTGGCAGACGGATAGTTGTGGTAGGTTTCGACGAGTTCGGGAGGAGTGGTGCCCATGAAGGCACCAATGACCGCACCATCGGCCTTCTCCCAATTCTTGTACTTGAGCAGTGCAGCAGCATAATATGCCTCAGCGGCAGCATTAGCTGGATCGGCGGACCTTTCGGATTTAGGAGGCTCCTTGCCGTCACCGATGTTGAGAAGGACGTCGGCAACTCGAGCCCCTTCACCTCCTGAGTGAGGAGGTGCTTGTCCATACCATAGCAGCAAGCCTTGTAATTGAAGTACCGTCCGGTTCGAGACGAAGGAGCGGGATCGGGTTGGCGAGTGAAGTGGTTGAGTAAGCCATTGTTGCTTGATTTTCGCGAAGCGACGCTCTTAGGTCACAGATAGGGACTTCGGTGCGCAGTGCGGCACTTCTGGAAATTGGTCGATGAGAATTGCTGAAAATCACCCTGACGGCTTTGTCGAAGTGCTGCTAAGTAGGAAATGGCGTCGGCGGAAATTTGTAAAAACGCTGGCTTGAAACTGCATCTGAGACTATGTCTAACCCCGGACCCACACACCCCCCCACACACCCCCAGGCCCTGTCCTGCAGCTACACGGCTCCGCAACCAGCTCCGCAACCAGCTCCACAACTAGCTCTGCAACCAGCTCCGCTCCGCTTCCACCTGTGTACCTGCTCTTGCTTGACGCAAGACATTCGTGGAGGCGATTCCGCGAGGGGCGTTCGTCTATTCTGGCAAGGTCCGAGGGGAAACTCGAAAACGAGTTTTAACAGATGGTGAAAATTGAGATTCGACCACTGAGAAGCGATGAGGAAATCGACAATGAGAAGTTTGAAAGCATTTGAGATGAGAAATTCAACGAGGTCGAGCGCGAAGGCGGTCGACGATGAGATGCGCGACTGCAGAGATTAGCACGGTGAAAATTCCGACGACTCGAGACGAATGTCGCGACGATGAGGTGCGCGTAGCGCGGGCACATTAAGATTAGGACCTTGATCCGCGTGTGCGGATAGGTCGCTCTGATACCTTGTAAGAAATAGAGCTGAAAGGATTGATTAGGTAAGGAGCCCAAGGCTCTATAAGTACATGGTAAGGTGAGAGATATCAGATGAAGAGGGAGTCACATGGAATCCCAACTGAGATCTCTGGAATCTCCAATCGGGTAATTGGAGATTGGGGGGATCACAATTGGGTGAGGTTAGGATTTTGTTAGTACACCCCAACCCACTAGATCATTCCTAACCTAAACTTGGATATAAAAGTACAAATACAAAAGTGGGATTTGCAATCTATTTCTAACAGGTGTACCTGACTAGGCCAATCGGGGAGGTTCGGCGCATTGCCGAAGCGGAGACGGAAGAGTTCATCGAGGCGGCGGAAGCAGCGCGCAGCAATATGGCTAGGACGGCCACACACTGTGCCGTGGAAGGGGCCATCTGGAGCTGGTTCTGGCAACCTACAGAGCCGAAG